CTCTGAACACAACCACTCTGAACACAACCACTCTGTACACAGCCACTCTGTACACAACCACTCTGTACACAGCCACTCTGTACACAACCACTCTGAACACAACCACACTGAACACAACCACTCTGAACACAACCACTCTGAACACAACCACTCTGAACACAACCACTCGGTACACAGCCACTCTGTACACAACCACTCTGTACACAGCCACTCTGTACACAACCACTCTGAACACAACCACACTGAACACAACCACTCTGAACACAACCACTCTGAACACAACCACTCTGAACACAACCACTCTGAACACAACCACTCTGTACACAACCACTCTGTACACAACCACTCTGAACACAGCCACTCTGTACACAACCACTCTGAACACAACCACTCTGTACACAACCACTCTGAACACAACCACTCTGAACACAACCACTCTGTACACAGCCACTCTGTACACAACCACTCTGAACACAACCACTCTGTACACAACCACTCTGTACACAACCACTCTGTACACAAACACTCTGTACACAACCGCACTGAACACAACCACTCTGAACACAACCACTCTGAACACAAACACTCTGTACACAACCACTCTGAACACAACCACTCTGAACACAACCACTCTGAACACAACCACTCTGAACACAACCACTCTGAACACAACCACTCTGTACACAACCACTCTGAACACAACCACTCTGAACACAACCACTCTGAACACAACCACTCTGAACACAACCACTCTGAACACAACCACTCTGAACACAACCACTCTGTACACAACCACTCTGAACACAACCACTCTGTACACAAACACTCTGTACACAAACACTCCGAACACAACCACTCTGAACACAACCACTCTGTACACAACCACTCTGAACACAACCACTCTGTACACAACCACTCTGAACACAACCACTCTGAACACAACCACTCTGTACACAAACACTCTGTACACAAACACTCCGAACACAACCACTCTGAACACAACCACTCTGTACACAACCACTCTGAACACAACCACTCTGTACACAACCACTCTGAACACAACCACTCTGAACACAACCACACTGAACACAACCACTCTGTACACAACCACTCTGTACACAACCACTCTGAACACAACTAATCCGAACACAACCACTCTGTACACAACCACTCTGAACACAACCACTCTGAACACAACCACTCTGTACACAACCGCACTGAACACAACCACTCTGAACACAACCACTCTGTACACAACCACTCTGTACACAACCACTCTGAACACAACCACTCTGTACACAACCACTCTGAACACAACCACACTGAACACAACCGCACTGAACACAACCGCACTGAACACAACCGGATTTCGCCCGCGACAGACGCACTTGAGCAGAAGAAGCAGCAGCATCAGCAGCAGCAGCACACCGCCTTCGACGGCTTGGGGATGCATGCAGCTACACGTGTTGCCCAGGGCAACCGGCAGGCTCGCCATGGCGACACGTGGGGAGGAGATGGAGGAGGTAGCAGAGGGGGTAGTGGGGGGTGGAGATCTCTGGGGGGAACCCAGCTCAGCCAATCATCGTCGTTCTTACCTGGGGCTCGTGAAATCCCCCCCCACACACACCCTCTAACCCACGATCGGACAGTGGATCTCAAACGTGGCTTTGGTTTTCCAGCTCGGCCCCCCCCCCCCGGTTGGCATCGCACGCGTCCGTCCGTGTGTGTGGCAAAGGGGCCATCCATAAATGGTGGGGAGCGGTGGTGTAGTGGTTAGCGCGCTGCACTACGGACCTGGCCACCCGAGTTCGATTCCCGCTCACGGGAAACACCAGTGACGATTATCTGAACCGGTCCTGGGCCCTCCCCTAGGTCGACTCAGTCTTAAATGAGTACCTAGTGCGGTGTGTAAACTTCGCCACTAGGGAGACAAAGGCGGTCGGGCGTGGTGCTGGCCACCCACCCCCTCGTGTGCCGTTCCGGCCTTCATAGGTGCTCGCTAACAGCACTTGCCCCTACACTCTGTTAAGGCTATACGGGGATCTTTGTTTGTTTATCTTTGTCCATAAATGACGTCACGCACTTGGGGTGGGGTGGGGGGTCAAACATTTGTGACGATGTGTGATTGATATTTTTATTATTTTATTCTTTCCCTTCTACGTGACTTTACCGAAAGAACCAAGAATTATGAATCCCTGCAGTCACGAAAGCTTTAAATCTAAATTTAAGGGGGGAGGGGGAGGGGGGGTGAAAAATGTGACGTCACATCAAAATGCGCAACTTTAAATAAATATAAACAACAAGTTAATTAAATAGATGTTTTAATAAATGTTTTCTCCAACAACATCAGCGTGCAGCGCCACATTAAATACGCACTACAATGACAATAGTTTAAAGCGATTTGAAGCATGTTTTATTGGGGGGGGGGGGGGCAAAGCTTTGTGACGTCATATTTGAGGGGGGGGGGGGTCTGACTTTTTGTGACCCCGTGTGTCGACGGGGGGGGGGGAGAGGGGGGTCACGTGGAACTTCCTGCCCGCTCCGGATGATCGCTGCAAAGTTTGATCTGTGTTTTGATTTAGTGTGCTGATCTTAAAGGTGCATTGAAAAATGTTGACACTCCGACTGATGCTCCTGCTGCTGTTGTGGAGTGACTCATGCAGCCAGCTATGATGGCTGCAGATTTAAAGCTTTCGTGACTGCAGGGATTCATCTTCTTGGTTCTTTCGGTAAAGTCACGTAGAAGGGAAGTAATACAATAATAAAAATAAAACATTTTATTATGTTTTATTTTTATTATTTTCGGTCACAGTTCCTATGACCTGCACTGTTTCATTGCTTTTATGGCTTTATTTTGGTGATTTTCGAAAAGTTTTTCGGTTTGGCCGTGTTTGTTTGTTGTAGTACAGAGTTAGACTGATGGCCTTAATCTAAGTTGTCTTGTGGTTGTTGTTGTTGTTTGACTTGCATCCACTGGGATTTTTGCACAGCGTTGGTGTACGGTGCTTTTTCTGCAATATTTTGCCTGTCTTTATTTGGATTTTTTGTTTGCACATAGTCACTTTAAGATATTCTTAGGTTTTTTCGGTAAATTCACGTAGGTAAAACATCAAAATTAATAAAAATAAATAAAATAAAACAAAAATCACGACGTTTCGGAGGCAACACAAGTCTCCGTCATCAGGTGGGACCGTCACAGCCGGATTAGCTGCATCACCTGATGACGGAGACTTGTGTTGCCTCCGAAACGTCGTGATTTTTGTTTTATTTTATTTATTTTTATTAATTTTGATGTTTTACCTACGTGACTTTACCGAAAAAACCTAAGAATATGAAACCTTGCTGTCACGAAAGCTTCAAATCTAGAATCACTTTAAGATGTTTTCTTGTTCATATTTTAGTTGTTTGGTTTGTTGCGGTTGCACCCGATTCAAGAGCCGAATGGCTCACAGGGCTATACACCTAATACTTGAAACTTGAACTTGAAGCCCCGTGAGCGTCGAGAAGTAGAACCGCGTAACCCACACGTGGCTTCCATCTGTTCCGTCCGTATGGGATCGAGTGTTCCTCCATCGCACACGCATGGGTTCCCTGCCCACGTGTAAACAACCCAGTAATTGGCCGACAGCGGCTTCACGTTTCGAGGACCACTGGGCTTGGTCCTAGCGCAGGGCCTGTAATAAAAAAAAAACTAACACTTTCGTAATAAAACAAAAACTATTAACTTTCATGGTAAAGTAATTGTATTTTATCTCTATATATCTCGCTCCCTTTGTCTCTCTCTCTCTCGCGCCATCGCTGTCAACCCATACGGTTCACCCTGTGTTCTCGTACAGGGAAATTGAGTTTTCAGTGCCGTACGGTGTACAGCCGTTTCAATACTGACAATGTTTTTTTTGTCTTGTTTATTTGCGATTCTCCTTTGTAATGGGACTTTGTGGGATGAACGCTGAGATGTATAAGGGGCACGGGGCGACCAATAAGGTCTGAATTGGTCTGTAATAAGGTAGGGCACTGATAAGGGGTTGACAGGGATGCATCTTATCTCTCTTGTATCACCCTATATCTATCTCCGTTTGTCGATCTCTCTCCATAGCTGTCAACCCATGCGGTTTAGCCCGTGTTCTTGTACAGGGGAATTGAGTTTTCAGGTCTATATGGTGTAGAGCCGTTTCAATACGGGCAAAAAAACCGTGTCTATTTGTTTGTGTTTCTCCCTTGTGATACGGACTCTCTCCCCCCGCCGAGGCCCGATTGAACCTCGTGTCACGGCAGGTCTCTCGCCTACTTCAGTAATTATTTCTTGCTGTGGTTGTCTGTCCCAACCTGATGACGATTGCTTGTGTTGCGATCGAAACGTCGCGATCTATTATTTATCAGAGCATGCTTTTTGTTTGCATGTTCACCACAAGTACGTGTGGCTAATGCTGACAGGATTCCTTGAAAAAGGTTTCTGTTTGGTATCTTAACATCTCAACACCCGTTTTATTGCCAGAACACGTAACACATTCCCGCAGAGGGAGCTGGTAGGAACGTTGGGTTGTTCGGTCAATGGCCAGGGTCAACGGCGGCGTGGTGTATTCCGCAAATATGCCGACGGTGAGGGCGGGCACAAGCCGGCGTGAGTAGGTTAAACGTTGAGTTTTATAAGGGCACCACGGGGTGGCCAGCCCCTCCCCACCCCTCCCACCCTCCCGTCCACACCCAGCCCCTCCCTCCCCACCCTCCCGTCCCCACCCAGCTCCTCCCAGCACGACGGACGGACACAATAAACCCGTGGGCTGGTGTAACCAGGAGGTTCCGACCAGTAAAACCTATTGCTATAGCGTAATTTGTGTTAGTAAGGCGTGTTTCACGGTGTGTATCGGCGTGTTTTGCGTAAGGCATGCGTTTTTGAATGAGATTCCCTTTGGCGATGGTGTTTTAACACACCTCGCCATCTTCACCTTGCAAAACAATGGACACGAAGAGGCACGAACGCACACACAGTCGGCAAAACGTCTCTTTCGGCGATGTTTATTAGCTCCTCTTCTGACAAGGCTTCGCAATCCTTCTGCACGCGGCACGGAAAAGAGCTCTTCATATCGTCCGATGAATCCCCTCCACGTAGTAGTGATAATATGGCTCTGGAAGAAGATATTACAATGCATCATTCATCTTGATTTTAAGCTTTTCTGACTGCAGGAATCCATTCTTCATTAGACCTCCTTTGACAGTACCAAAATATAATAATAGGGTTTTTCCCCTTTTTTCTGGCAAAACTGAAACCTTTTTTTACAAGGATTCATGTCTGTATTAACCACCATACTTGCAGTCAAAATGCAAACAAAAACACACTCTGATAATATCTGCATTGTCCTTGAAACTGATTGGTCCACACCAAGGGACGGCTTTCTTTTGAGCCTCGACCGAATTGGTGCTCGACCATCGGACGCCAAAAGGCGCACAGCTCAAAGACAATTCACTATCAAAGTAATGATGGCTCGGAGGTGAGCATCTACATCATTGTAAAAAGGTTTCAGTGTTGTTGCCAGAAAAAAGGGTGAAAACCCTATTATTAGGAATCCATACTCTTTGGTTCTTTTGGTAAAGTCACGGAGGTAGAAAAAATAATAGATCACGACGTTTCGATCGCAACACAAGCAAGGTGTGAAACACACCTGATGACGGTTGCTTGTGTTGCGATGGAAACATCGCGATCAATTATTTTTTCTACCCACGTGACTTTACCGAAAGAACCAAATAGTATCATTCATCTTGTTGGGGGGTTTGTGGTGGCGGTGGCGGGCTTGGGAGCCACGTTAATATTTCGTGGCCAAAGTCCTAGTCGCCAAAAGGAACCACGTTCTGACTTACTAGATTTTTATTTATTTGATATTTTTTACCTACGTGACTTAACCGAACAAACCAAAGAGTATGGATCCTTGCAGTGACGAAAACTTCACATCTAGACTTTCTAGATTTTGTTTCTATTCTTAAAGAAAGACGGCCGAGTTGGGAATCGAACTCGGGAACTTTTTTCCTGCGAGGCACGATAATAACCACGGCCGCCCATCTCGTCTCAAATCACTTACAAAATCTGCATGTAGCGGGCCGATTGAAAAAATCCGTCCGTTTACACACGAGCGCAATTGTTACACTGTGTGTGTTTGCCGTCTCTCTAAGCTAATTCGTAATTTTCTGGTCAATGTGCTGTGATCAGTACAAACAAAATCTGCCCGAGCCGACTTGCGCTACAGGGAATATATTATTTCACGCCGACTCTTAATAATGTTTCCACGGTATTTCGGATTTCTCCCGCGACGTGGTTGTTTTTGCTCCGATGTCTGTTGTACTTGATTTGCTTTTACCATGTTGGGTGACACCCAGGTGCCCCCCTTTCAAATGCGATTTGTACCCTGGACTCTTCGGGTCTTACAGCTGGTTACACACAAAATCAACTTGAACCCGTCACAAGTTTTTTTGCTCTGATTCATATTCGCATTCGTTGCTGTACTTTATCCGATTTACCCTTGTCATGTTGGGTGACACCCGGGTGTCCCTTTTGCAAATGTGACTCGTACCCCAGACCCTTCAGGGGTCTCACACGCAGCTGGTTACATGCAAAGTCAACTTGAAAACTCTTACAAAGGGGGAACAAAAAAACCAAGACTCCGTTAAGAATTCGCGGGACCCTCCCAGGAGTGGCGCGCACCCGTGTCGGGGTTGACGAGTCCGTGTCGTATCAGGAAGTCCAGCGTGACGAGGGCGCAGTTTGGCTTGAAATCCCCAGAGGTCATTTCCTCGAGCACCTGACGCAGACGCGCGAGACGCAGGGTGAGCGGGGGGGGGGGGAAAGACCGGAGGAGCGAACAGCAGAGGCATTGCGCGTGACAATGCATTGCATGTATGTTGAACTTCCTTCGCACCATACGTAACCAACCATGCTATTTTAACTATTTTTTGTGTTTACCAGGTAAGGCAGCCTAAGCTACGTAGCGCTTTTTCGTAAGCCACCTGGCTCATCACAAAGAATAGCTCGATGAAGCGGCTTATCAGGTGGGAATTTATAGCAGAACGCACGTTATGTTTTATTTTTATTATTTTATTATTTCCCTTCTACGTGACTTTACCATAAGAACCAAGAATATGAAGACCTTGTGTGTGCCTTTTGGTGTCATCTGGTCCAACACCATGTGAGACTAGGCTCTAAGAAAAGCTGTCTCGGGTGTGGACCAATCAACTTCAAGGACAGTGCATATCATTATCAGAGTTGTGTTTTTTGTTTGCATTATGACTGCAGGTATTGTGGTCAATGCAAACATGACTCCTTGTAGAAAAAAGGTGTCAGTTTTGTTGCCAGATAAAAGGGTAAAAAAATAACAATTATCATATTTTGCTACTGGCAAAGGAGGTTCCAATGGAATATGAAGACCTTTCTGATGAAACGTAACTGTGCACACCGAAGCACCAAAGGACAGGCGCTGAGGAGGGCAGCATGAACCTGCCTTGTCAACCGGCCAGAGGTGGAAGTCCTGCATCTCGCCATCGGCGGCGTGCGGCGTGAAGTCGTCGGGGATTTCCAGGTCGTACACGAACTGACACTCGGGGAAGATGCCACGCTCGTTCTCGTGCGTGTAGCTGCAAAGGCGTTCGCGGAAAGAAAAAAACCACACGGCCGAAGAGATGACGCACGCGGCCGCTGAGCACAGGGCCCAAGATGTCACGCGTCCAGAAACAAACGGCACCATCGAGGTTCGCGGCAGACATGGGTCGCAACACGTTTCTGGAATTGAGCCCCGGTTGTAAGAACTTTTGGGGAATAGACGAGGGGAGGGTAGTTCCTAAGTGCGGGGGGAAAAGCAGAAAGTGTTGTGACCTGCAGTGTGGTGAGTGGGTGAGTGAGTGAGTAAATGGGTGGGTGGATTAGTGAGTGGTGTGGCAAGCAGGTGAGTGGGTGGATGAGTGAATGGGTGGGTTAGTGTGTGGGTGGGTGAATGAGTAAGTGGATGAATGGGTGGGCGAGTGTGTTGTTGTGACCTGTTGTGTGGCGAGTGGGTGAGTGGGTGGATGAATTAATGGGTGGGCTAGTGAGTGGGTGGGTGACTGGGTGAGTGGGTGGATGAGTGAATGGGTAGGTGATCGGCGCGAAGCCGGGGCAAAGAGAAAACAAGAAATAAAAGTTGAAACGCAACTGCCCACGTACCTCACTGTTCCCACTGGCACAGCTCTCTCGGCAAGGCATGCTGGGATACCTGCTTCCTCGGCTGCCTCCTTCACGAGCGTCTCTTTGATCCCGACTCCGACCGCCAAACCTCCCGCCGCCTGGGGTTCACGGCCACAAAGCAAGAGCCAGCGTTACACGTACTCCCATCGCAGCCGACGATCGCGACATGGCGTAATTGACTTTGCAGTCAGGCCGCTATGCTGATGATTCTTGTTGACCAAATCTGTGTCGTTCAGAGCCCTCGACCACCCGACGAGGCCACACAAATTTAATTGTCACGTGGCGCCCCGGCATTGAAGGACGCGTTGATGATTATTGTCGTTGTCTGAACACCTAAACGGCGAGTGGAATACCAATTCTCGCCATCAAATTCAGCAATTGCGTTCGGCGTTTTTCGAGTTAAAACTTGCGTCGAGCGTCATCGGGACACGACCCAGGAAGTGAGAATGAACAAAACGCGGATTCCATTTTATTTTTTCGACTTGAACCTAAAACTTGTCCCGGCGACGCAACTTCAATAGACGAAACGCCGCGCGCGTCCAAAGCATCTCGGTCAACGTTGTCTGTTGCATCCAACCGGACCGGCGATGGTGGCAACTGCAGGAGAGGCTCCTCCAAGCCGGTGTCTCGGCAAAATCTGTCACAGTCGTGCGTGACCCCACAGAGGGGATGGACAGAGACGGCACACAGCGCGCGGTTTACCGGTGTCTACCCCGTCCGTGTCTTTGCGACGCGACCAAACGTTCGCGAGGTGACCGCCCGCAGAGGGAGCGGAGGGGGGATGAGTCGGTCCGACTGGAAATGCTCCCGAGGCAATTGTGAATCGCTCACAGCACGTGTTGGATTTGAATGTGTGCGTGTGTGTTGCTGTGTAAAGCCTTAACAGTCTGTTAACAATCTGTACAGGATATACGTATCTTTGTCTTTTGGGGAGCGGTGGTTAGATTAGCGAGTTGCGCTACGAACCCGGCGACCCGAGATCAATTCCCGCTCATGTCCAACACCAGTGATGATTATCTGAACCGGTCCTGGGCCTCCCCTAGGTTGACTCAGCCTAAAATGAGTACCTGGTGCGACATTGTAAATATCGGCACTCAAGAGGCAAAGGCGGCCGGGCGTGGTTCTGGCCACCCACTTTCACGTGTGTTGTGCCGGCCTTGAAAGGTGTTCGCTAACAGCACTTGTTTTTTAAACAGGTAAGGCCCACTTAGCTTAATAACTCCTTTTCAGAAACGACCTGGCCACAAATGATATCTCAACGAAGGGGCTTATCACGTGGAAATTTATCGCAGCCAAATATTCTATAACGCGTGTCTCTAAATGTGGAGGGGAAAAAAACGGAGGACCCGGAGACAAATCCACATGACCACGGGGGAGAGAGAACATGTAAACTCCAAATATACAGGCGTCAGGGTCGGGATCAAACCCACGACGTCATGTATACCAGGCGAGTTAGTTAACATTTCACCACTGCGACGCCACATGCCCCAACATTCTGCGTGCGTGCGTGTGTGTGCGGCTACCATGTTGTCCAGCTTGCCAGGGTAAGTCTGCTTGCTCTCGGACCTTCTGCCAATCCACAGGCACAAGCCATGGCTAGGATGATGCGTGTAGCCGTTCATGTGAACCCCATACTGCTTCACTCCAAACAAACCTGAAAAAAATTAAAACACAAAAGACAATCAATTTTAACGATGATTGTTCGCGGGTGACAGGCGTCGTTGCGTTATGGCGACATTACGGCGTGTTGCACGACGTACAATCGAATTACTCCGCTGGGATCACACACACACAGCAGCCACCTCGCCCCCATGATGTGAAACCACCGCAGACCATTTCTGTGAAACACAACAGCGCCTTCCGTCGTGATCAGAACGGCGCGGATATCAAGTGTAACACACTTAATTATCCACGATAATCGTCTCGTCCGTTTTGGTGATCATCACAGCTACAGAGGCTGTGTTCCTGGCTGCACATCGCCAATCTGAAGCTTCGCGAATGAGAAAAACAGCGGCAGGCTTATCGTCATCATCAGATTATTGTCACGAACGATTGTTCACCCGGGAAAAAAAACAACAACCCATCACCGACTCCTTTCCAGGAGGGTCTTGCCAAGTTTTCGCAGTAGAAGGGGGCTGATGATCGCTGTGTGTAATCTCAACCGAATGATTCGAAAGTAATTTTCAACACAATTGACTGTCACCGGCATAAGTTTCAAACCCATCACCGCAGCGACGTCATTGACCACAGTAGTTTTTTTTTCTTCCCATTATCATCGAAGCTTCAAACCAGCGCTGAGAAGAGTGATAATCCATCCCGGCGGATCTCAACAGGCTCCGCAATCCACCAGAAACCTATGACCAACCGATTGAACCCTGTGATGTACCACGTAGACCAGGGGTGGGGAATGTCCGGCCCGCGGGCCGTATGAGGCCCGCTAAATCATTTGGTCAGGCCCTGCCAAGGCAACCGCAGGCGGGACTAGAAATTCAATAAATCTAGGAGCAAACCTGGAAAAGCAGTTGCGAGTAACAGCAACATCATCAATACCAGCTAACATCACCACGCCTCGCCAAAGAGAATCAGTTCCAGCCATCGCATTAGGGGCGAGTTAATTAAATGTTTGACCAAATATAACGGGCTAATTTTTACGTTGATAAGTTTGTATGGCCCGCGAATGATGTTATAAAGATCCAAATGGCCCTTGGCAGAAAAAAGGTTCCCCACCCCTGACGTAGACAAACTACAAGCACAGTCTAATGGTAGAAGTTTGTATCACTTCTTAAATATGCCATGAGCCGTAACAAAAACACGTGTGTGCATGCGTCAATGTCTGTTTTCCGATTTGTCCTGAGAGCCACAGCATCGTTTGCGATCCACATATTGGCCACTACTACTCTAAACTGCGCACGGTGGTAACCAATCCAAAGACAAAGATCCCCCGCATAGTCTTAACAGACTGTTGGGGCAAGTGCTGTTAGCGAGCAGCGCCTATGAAGGTCGGCACTGTCGCGCACAATGGCGTGGGTGGCCAGCACCACGCCCGGCCGCCTTTGTCTCCCCAGTGGCGATGCTTACACACCTCAGCAGGTACTCATTCGAGGCCGAGTCGACCTAGGGGAGGCCCAGGATCGGTTCAGATAATCGTCACCGGTGTTGGCCGTGGGCGGGAATCGAATCCGGGTCGCCGGGTCCGTAGCGCGTCGCGCTCACCACTGCGCCACCGCTAACCAATCCGCAGTAGTATCCAGGCTCCAACCTGTTTAGCTGCCGAGATCTTAATTCTAGATTTGAAGCTTTCGTGACTGCAAGGATTCATACTCTTAGTTTTTTCGGTAAATTCACGTAGGTAAAACATTTAAATTAAAAGAAATAAAATAATAAAAATCACGACGTTTCGGAGGCAACACAAGTCTCCGTCATCAGGTGGAACCGTCACAGCCAGATTTGCTGCCGAGATCTGATGAGACTGGGGCGCATTCCGGGGTGGGTGATGTGTTCGTCGTTAAGACACCACGCACCAGGACGAATAACAGCTCACGGTTGGACGATTGTGAAACGCACATGTGGCACTTCTCTCCATTTTCATCACGGGCTTGTCGTAAAATCTCGCAGACACTTGGTACATCTGTTGGAAAATAAGTCCAGAGAGCGCTCACTTGATCAGCATCGGAATATTTATTTACAGGAGAAATCCGATGAACTATGAAGCTCTTTATATTACAGATGTCCAGTCGGGGCACGGGGTAAGAATGTTACAACAGTACAAACATGCGATAGGACTACAAGAAAGGTAAAAAATCACCCCAAAAAGTACAAATAAAACTAAACCATCCACATCCTACCCGGCAAAGCCCAAAGAGCTATAGTATATTTTCCAGAAGCGACCTGGCCACAAATGATAGCTGTACTAAATTTCGATTTAAAGCTTTCGTGACTGCAGGGATTCATCTTCTTGGTTCTTTCGGTAAAGTCACGTAGAAGGGCGTTGTGGCCGAAACGTCGTGAGAATTGTAATTTATTATGTTTATTTTTATTAATTGATCATTTCCCTTCTACGTGACTTTACCGAAAGAACCAAGAAGATAGCTGTACTCTTTGGTTCTATAGGTAAAGTCACGTAGGTAAAAATAAAATAAATAATAACAATAAAAATAGTTATTTTTAAGTTATTTTCACCTACGTGACTTTACCGAAAGAACCAAAGAGTATAGATCCTTGCAGTCACAAAAACTTCAAATCTAGAACTGATAGCTGCTCAACAAAGCAGCTTATCTGGACATATCCAGCAGCAAAATCATCTCAACTTTGGTACAACAATCCTTTGGGGGCTCCTCCTGTTCCTGGCGAATATTCTGCAAGCCAGATGTTCGGAGAGACGCGCTAACTACAAAGGAGGTCACGCGTGTGTTGCTCGCCAACGAAGACCAACCCACAACCGACGACAACCGAGACCTCAGGCAGTGTCACACCTCAACGTTGACTCAAGCCCCGATATCCCCCTTCTCCCCGACCTTCTGGGGGTTTGCGCCGTGGAAATGTACAGCGACCCCCACAAAAGAATCACCTGGACGCACATTGATTCTAAACGTGGAGGAGGGTGGTGGGGGGGGGAGAAAACAACAACAACAACAACGGAGTACCCAGAGCATAAAACATAAAAAGCTGCCACTGACCTCATCCCTCCAGCCGCGGAGCGTGACGAACAGGTTCAGCGCTTTCCACTGGCGCAGCACGGCGTCCACCGCCTCCGAGCGTCGTTCGTAGGAGCCGAGGGCCGGCGACAGAACGACACACTCCTCCCCGCCGCCAGCACGTCCACCGTCGCGGTGACCTCCTCCGTTGCCGCCGGCGCCACCGCCACCACTTCCACCGCCACCACTTCCACCGAGGCCGGCTCCCCCGGAAGAAGGCAGCACGTGGAAAACATCGGGGTGGTTCTTCACCTGGGCCAACACGGCCGGGGAGACCAGCCCCACGTTCTGCCCGTCAACCAGCAGGGGGAGGCACTGGGCCTTGCAGGACCCTGTGGATGTGGCAGAGGTCGCAAACGGGTTTTGATTCCTTACCCGTACCCTACCCGAAATGAGTGACAAACGGTTACTCACCAGTGACTCACGGCCTACCCGTACCCGTATCCGGCCGCACCAGGGTCGCAAACGGTAGCCAGGTATCGGGTAGGGTACGGGTACCCGGTTGCGACCTCTGGGATGTGGACAATTGTTACAGGGACTCCTCTACTTACGGACATTCAAGAGATACGAACAAACCTGTCCGTATGGTCAAGACAGAGAGTCGTAAGTTCAACCGCCGCGCAATAGATGGCGGTGGTGGCATCTACATCTGCAGAACACGAAGAACCAGTGGCATCTACATCTGCAGAATGTGAAGAACCGGTGGCAGCTACATCTGCAGAGCGTGATGAACCAGTGGCATCTACATCTGCAGAACGTGAAGAACCAGTGGCATCTACATCTGCAGAACATGAAGAGCCAGTGGCATCTACATCTACAGAACGTGAAGAACCAGTGGCATCTACATCTGCAGAACGTGAAGAACCAGTGGCATCTACATCTGCAGAACGTGAAGAACCAGTGGCATCTAAATCTACAGAACATGAAGAACCAGTGATATCTACATCTACAGAACATGAAGAACCAGTGGCATCTACATCTACAGAACATGAAGAACCAGTAACATCTACATTTGCAGAACATGAAGAACCAGTGATATCTACATTTGCAGAACATGAAGAACCAGTGATATCTACATCTACAGAACATGAAGAACCAGTGGCATCTACAGGAGATTATATAACTTTTAAAGCAATTCCCCATGTTTAATGTACATGTCATAGAACACGTTTGGAATCAACAGGAGTAAAGTTTGAATTACGAACAAATCGACTTACGAACAGATGTAATGTTAATTAGCGACCAAGGAACAATCGTAATTTTGGAGCTTTCGTGACTGCAGGAATTATTCTTTGGTTTTTTCGGTAAAGTCACGTATAAAGATAAAATAATATAATTAAATAATAGCATACGACGTTTCGATTGCAACACAAGCAATCATCATCAGGTATAATGAAATAGCGACATAGAATATAACCAGAAAACTATAGACAGACATATAAGCAGACAGATATCACCAAGATACATAGAGAGAGCAACCCAGGTACAGAGAGAGGTGATCGTCTCTGTGGGGTGGCCTTAAATAGACAGAGGGGGGCGGAGGCAGAGAGAGGGAGGGGGTAGGGAAAACATTTACATGTCAATGAGTACGAAGGGAGGGGAGTAAGGTAAGCAGGCTTAGAGGGAGACAGAACACACTAAATTAAATAACCTAGCAAAGTATCGAAAGGAACAGTCAAACTAATGTTCCCATTGTAGGTTGGTAGTGGTTCTTGACTTAACTGTTGCATTCTCAAAATAACTATTTATAAAAAGTTGTTTTATTTTACCAGGTAAGGCCCAACTTAGCTTTGCATCTCTTTTTCAGAAGCGACCTGGCCACACTTGATAGCCCAGCGAAGCGGCTTATCACGTGAACATCTACAGTACCCAAACATTCTAAACTCATGTCGATTTTAAACGTGAACTGGAAAACCAGATGACCCAGAGAAAAATCCACGAGATCACGGGGGAGAGAGAGAGACAGCAAAATCCAAATGTACAGCAGGCGGTCAGGCTTGGCATCGAACCCACGACCTCCTGTATACCAGGCGAGGCAGTTAACATCTCCTAGCCCCCGCAGTAATTCGCTCTCACCTTGCGGCAGAGGTCGCAAACGGGTTTTGATTACTTACCCATACCCGTACCCGGCCGCACCAGAGTCGCAAATGGGTACCCGTACCCGGCCGGGTACGGATAGTCGTTCCCTACCCGTACCCGTACCCTACCCGAAATGAGTGACAAAAGGTGACTCACCAGTGACTCACGGCCGACCCGTACCCGGCCGAACCAGGGTCGTAAACAGGTACCCGTACCCGGCCAGGGTACGGGTAGCCGGGTATCGGATAGGGTACGGGTATCGGGTACCCGGTTGCGACCTCTGCCTTGCGGTGTTTAAGACTCCCACGCCACCCGCTGGCCGATCTCACCCATTGCACATCCTGGCGCGTGAGAGACCAGAATAGAAATAGCGCAGGACCGTGCTGGTGGACTCCAGTCAACACCCCCCTGGGACTCCCCCCCCCCCCCTGAGACTCCCCCCCCCCTTGAGTCTCTCCCCCCCCCCCCCTGAGTCTCTCCCCTGAGTCTCTCCCCTGAGTCTCTCCCCCGAGTCTCCCCCCTGAGTCTCCCTTCTGAGTCTCTCCCCTGAGACTCTCCCCTGAGTCTCTCCCCTGAGACTCTCCCCCCCCCCTGAGACTTCCCCCCCCCCCCTGAGTCTCTCCCCTGAGACTCTCCCCCCCCCCTGAGACTTCCCCCCCCCCTGAGACTTCCCCCCCCCCCCCGAGTCTCTCCCCTGAGACTCTCCCCCCCCCTGAGACTTCCCCCCCCCCCCTGAGTCTCTCCCCTGAGACTCTCCCCCCCCCCTGAGACTTCCCCCCCCCCCCCGAGTCTCTCCCCTGAGACTCTCCCCCCCCCCTGAGACTCTCCCCCCCCCCTGAGACTTCCCCCCCCCCCCCCCTTGAGTCTCTCCCCCCCCCCCCCCGAGTCTCTCCCCTGAGACTCTCCCCCCCCCTGAGACTTCCCCCCCCCCCCTTGAGTCTCTCCCCCCCCCCCCCGAGTCTCTCCCCTGAGACTCTCCCCCCCCCCTGAGACTTTCCCCCCCCCTTGAGTCTCTCCCCCCCCCCCCCTGAGTCTCTCCCCTGAGTCTCTCCCCCGAGTCTCTCCCCCGAGTCTCTCCCCCGAGTCTCTCCCCCGAGCCTCCCCCCTGAGTCTCTCACCCCCCCCCCTGAGTCTCTCCCCCGAGTCTCCCCCCTGAGTCTCTCACCCCCCCCCCCTTGAGTCTCTCCCCCGAGTCTCCCCCCTGAGTCTCCCTTCTGAGTCTCTCCCCCGAGTCTCTCCCCCCCCCCCTGAGTCTCTCACCCCCCCCCCCCCCCGAGTCTCCCCCCTGAGTCTCTCACCCCCCCCCCCCGAGTCTCTCCCCCGAGTCTCTCCCCCCCCCTCTGAGTCTCTCACCCCCCCCCCCCGAGTCTCTCCCCCGAGTCTCTCCCCCTCCTCTGAGTCTCTCACCCCCCCCCCCCGAGTCTCTCCCCCGAGTCTCTCCCCCGAGTCTCTCCCCTGAGTCTCTCACCCCCCCCCCCCCCCTGAGTCTCTCTCCCGAGTCTCTCCCCCGAGTTTCTCACCCCCCCCCCCCCTGAGTCTCTCCCCTGAGTCTCTCCCCTGAGTCTCTCCCCCCCCCCCCTGAGTCTCTCCCCTGAGTCTCTCCCCCCCCCCCCTGAGTCTCTCCCCTGAGTCTCTCCCCCCCCCCTGAGTCTCTCCCCCCCCCCCCCTGAGTCTCTCCCCCCCCCCTGAGTCTCTCCCCTGAGTCTCTCCCCTGAGTCTCTCCCCCGAGTCTCTCCCCCGAGTCTCTCCCCCGAGTCTCCCCCCTGAGTCTCTCACCCCCCCCCCTGAGTCTCTCCCCCGAGTCTCCCCCCTGAGTCTCTCACCCCCCCCCCCTTGAGTCTCTCCCCCGAGTCTCCCCCCTGAGTCTCCCTTCTGAGTCTCTCCCCCGAGTCTCTCCCCCCCCCCTGAGTCTCTCACACCCCCCCCCCCGAGTCTCCCCCTGAGTCCTCCTCACCCCCCCCCGCCGATTCTCTCCCCCGAGTCTCCTCCCCCCCCCTCTGAAGTCTCTCACCCACCCCCGCCCCGAGTCTCTCCCCCCGAGTCTCTCCCCCTCCTCTGAGTCTCTCACCCCCCCCCCAGCCCGCGGTCCCTCTTCTCCCCCGAGTCTCTCCCCCGAGTCGCCTCCCCTGAGTCTCTCACCCCCCCCCCCCCCCTGAGTCCTCGTCTCCCGAATCTCTCCCCGCCGAGTTTCTCACCCCCCCCCCCCTGATTCTCTCCCTGAGTCTCTCTCCCTGAGTCTCCTCCCCCACCCCCTGAAGTCTCTCCCCTGAGTCTCTCCCTCTCCCCCCCCCCTGAGTCTCTCCCCTGAGCCTCCCCGCCCCCCCTGAGTCTCTCCACCCCCCCCCCCTGAGTCTCTCCCCTCTCCCCCCCCCCGAGTCTCTCCCCTGAGTCTCTCCCCCCCCCCTGAGTCTCTCCCCTGAGTCTCTCTCCCCCCCCCCTGAGTCTCTCCCCCCCCCCCGAGTCTCTCCCCCCCCCCCTGAGTCTCTCCCCCGCACCCCTGAGTCTCTCACCCCCCCCCCTCCCTGATGTCTCTCTCCCCCCCCCCTGAGCCTCTCTTCCCCCCCCCCCTGAGTCTCCTCTCCCCCCCCCCCCCGAGTCTCTCCTCCCCCACCCCCCGAGTCTCTCTCCCCCCCCCTCCCTGAGTCTCTCTCCCCGCCCTCCCCGAGTTTCTCTTCCCCCCCCCCCTGAGTCATCTCCCTCCCCCCTCTTCCCCCCCCCCCCGAGTCTCTCTCCCCCCCCCCTGAGTCCTCTCTCCCCCCCCCCTGAGTCCTCTCTCCCCCCCCCCCGAGTCCTCTCCACCCCCCCCTGAGTCTCTCCACCCCAACCCCCCCCCTGAGTCTCTCTCCACCCCCCCCCGAGTCTCCAAACCCCCCTGAGGTCTCCTCTCCTCCCCCCCCCTGAGTCCTCTCTCCCCCCCCCTGATC